TAATTCATATAAAATATAAAAACATTATATGATATTATTACTAAGAAAAACCCATGGGAAATCTAGTTTCAACTTAAGGGCATACTCATAGCATAAAACTCCCTAAAATACATATTACATACACACAAATTGCAAAGTAAATATATGAGCAAATTCATAAATAATGTTTTTTGTTCAATAAACGGCAGTATACTTTGAATTGTTTCTTATAACATCCTACTTTCAAAAATCATATCTAGTGCACAAAACACACTTCTACTTTCTAATAAAAATAAATTAAAATAGCATGCTATAATAAACAAATAAAATAAAGTAGGCTGCTATGATTATCGAAAGAATAATATAAATAAAAAATAGGGATATATACAGTAAAGTCCTAATATTTTCATTGATTTGACAAGAAAATCCTAAACTTTATTTTAATGACAGTAAAGTCCAAATTGCCGACAATTTTTAACACTTTTACCCATTTTTTCCCGGTTAGCCGGTAATTAGGATTTTTTTGTCAAAAAAATGAAGTTTAGGATTTTCTTATACAAACACAAACAACACATGCCCAGTCAAAAGGGTGTGAATGTGGAGAAGGGAAAGAAGGGCAATTTCATTTTTTTCGGTTTTTTATTTCTCCATTTTTGAGACTGCAAAAGGCCAACACAACCCTGGTTCTTTCTTTCTTTCTTGATTATATCAATTTTTTTTAAATGTCGGTTTGTTGAGATTAAGAAAACGATTTAACAAGAAGTAAATGTAAAGGATTTCAACAGGATCTAATTGATTAGAGAAAGTTTCAATAATTCTTATGCTTAAAGAGTATCATACCATTAAATTTCTAACAAAAATCATATATACACTAAAGTCCCAATATTTTCAACGATATGACAAAAAAGTCATAAACTTTATTTTTTTGACAGTAAAGTCCTAATTGACGATTTGACAAGAAAGTCTTTTAAACTTTATTTTGTTGACAAAAAAGTCCTAATTACCGGCTAACCGGGGAAAAGGGGTAAAAGTATCAAAAACTACTGGTAATTTGGACTTTACTCTAAAAAAAATTAAGTTTAGGACTTCTTTGTCAAATCGCTGAAAATATTGGGACTTTACTGTATATATCCCTAAAAAATAAACTATAGTAGGTTACATACGACCACTTTAAAACATCATGTTGTCATCTCCTTTAAATGAATTTTGGTTTTTGACTTCACCATGTGATTCTGTTGAAGGCATATGAAGTTTAGGCTGCAACCAACATTGCGACCTATAAAAAATGCCTTAAGAAGGCTTCTAAATTTGCTGATATCAATTGTCAAAAACAAATGAAGTGAGCTGCCATTTTTTCTTATAATTTTCATTTATTTAACAACTTCGTTATTACATTTTCAACAAACCATGGACGAAGTCAAAATAAAAGAGATGCATATGATAGATAGTAAAACTTCTATATTTTAGCAACATAATAAGCTTAGAAACAAACAAATTAAGTTTCCACATTTACCCTTGAGATCCAAACTTGAAATTCCAGATGTAAACTTTTTCCAATGCTTTGCTTTTAAACTTTAAACTTCCTACTTTCCACATTTTTCCTTGATGAATTTGATCAAATTATGAGTATTTCGGATTTGTCCATTTCAAAGCTAGTATATATTTCTTTTCTCATATTTTTCCCTTTTAGGGAAACCCCTATAACATGTCTAAAAATATTTGTTCTTCATTCTGCGACAAATTTCTCACTCAAACCTATTTAAAAAGGTTTTCTATGTGAAGGCAAGCACTTCTAGTGATCTCGGACATTGCCAAAACCATCTTTAGAATTGTTGCTAAAACTTGAATAACCGTAATAGCAATGTACTTGCAATTGTACGCTTCCATTTTTTTGCATAAGTTTAACATACTCCATTCAAGCTATTTCAATTTTCTTTGGATTATAATTTATACATGATCTAGGACATTGCCAAAGTGATCAATGTAGTGTCGGTTCCAAGTTCTTGCACCATATTGTGCCACTGAAGACTATAGTTGAGGTAAAAAAGTCTAAAATATGTCATAAATAATAAAACAAAACATACCATACTACAGTTGGTTATTTTAACTAAATGCATATTTGTATATTTCGAAAACTTTAAAAGAAGAAAAAATGAAATAAAAATAGTTACCTGAGTTCATCTAAACTTAATCAATACATGTATATCTTCACCTCAGGACCATCTAAGACACAAAGGGCACCAGATGTGAGTAATTATTTTGAGTTCAACTTAAGAGTTGTACAATCATGAGAACCAAATGTTTAGCAAATAAGACAACTTTGATTTTATAGTTTTACGGATTAAAAATAATAACAGACTTCCTAACCCGATCACCCTTTCATTTATAGTAATCCTAATTCTAATTCATATTCACATTGTCTATTAAACTCAAATCACACCCAAGAATAGCTCACTATTCCAACCTTTTAGATTTTCATAGAAAAGCTAAAACCTACACTTAGAAGATGGGTTACCTAAACTGAAAGTAAAAAAGAAAGACCAAATTACCCTTTTACTGTAATTTCTTCCCATTTCTGTTCTTGAACATTCATCTTCAATCAATCGTCATGTAAGGGTGCTATGATGCTTGTTAATTAATGACTTCTTTGGAACTTTGCAATAACCAATTTTTTTATCAATAATGAAGTAATTTAGTTATTCACACAAATGATTTGAAAAAAAAATCAGACCTCGTTTGTGGATGAAGAAAAACAAAGTACACTAACCACTTTCCAGGATCTAAACAACGTAGATTCCGGAGATATTACACATTCAAAACACATTGATTCATTTTTTCAAATTTACCAGATAACCATCACCACCGACACATCTAGAAGTTGACATAAAGGGAAAAAGATAAAAATCATTGAAAAGAGAAAATAACAAATCAAATGGAAAACTAACTATCCTGGATTGTATAACTTCAACCGATTGGAGAGGGGCGTCTGGAGAATGAATGGCAGATTAATGATGTCATCGGTAACAAAAATTTTGAGTTGGGAAATAAGAGTAGGAAAGGACAAAGGTTTGATATTTTTGTTCTTACCTAGAACCAATGACCGGAAGACATCAATGGTGACAGTGGCAGAGACTAGCGGTGGTTGTTATGCTTCCTTAGAAATGGAGCGGTGGTGGTCGACGATAGTCTTCAAAAAAACCCCAAAACACAAAATAGGGCGGTCTTTGTGGAAGTTCTGTAGGTGGAAATAACATCAGCAACCATGGTTTATAAGTAGTAACAGACCCAAAACTCAAACGAAACAAAAGAAACTCACACAGATTCAAGAACAGAAACGGGGATGGTACATCAGTTTACCGAAGGATGCTCTAGGATGTAAGATTTGTCGTTGCACTTTCCTGTTGCCCAGGGTTTGGAGAGAAAACGTGGATGATAGGAGAGAGAAAGAAGAGGAGGCAATGAAAGTTGAAATAGGTGCTAGGGTTTTTAAATAGATTGTTGAAGAGAGTTCAATTCAAAATTTCAATTAAATCAGAGATGAACAAAGATTGAGGGATGCTGAACAGCTGCCATTGACCAAGAACGTAGGTGATCTTGTGTTATCTAATTTGGCTTTTTCAATGGCCTGGGGATAAGATATGATTATATATATATATATATATATATATATATATATATATATATATATATATATATATATATATATATATGGTAAAGTGAATATACCTAACAACCTTCTATAAACTTAGGTACCTAACCTCATCAAACTACGTTATTTTGCATTAAATTTTAATTGCAATCATCCAAGGTTCTTAAACTTCATCCCTAAACTTGATTTACTTCAAAAAAAATTTAGGAATTCATCATTTTATTACTCCTACATCCTTTCATTTGTAGCGGTAGGATATGAAGCCTATCAGGTGGTATACGATAGAAAGACGTGATGTAAAAGAAAGATATTGGTGAAAGTCCAAAGATTTAGGAAGTAATCAAGTTATTTGGTTGAAGTTTAAGAACTTTAGCCAATTACAATGTAAATATGATACAAACCAATGTAGTATTATGGAGTTAGGTACCTAAGCTTATATAAGGTTGTTAGGTATATTCACTTTACCCATATATATATATATATATATATATATATATATATTATATATATATATATATATATATATATATATATACATACTAGCAGTGTACCCGCGCAAAGCGGCAGAGCATATAAATTCTTTCGGTGATATGTTTCCTCTAAAAAAATGTTATGTTACAAAAGAAAGTACATTTCGAAGAAAAAATAATCAAACTATGGAGTTATTTAGGAGATGGAGTTATTTTTTGTTCCTGGACGGTGAGCTTTATAGCAGAGGAGGGAACAAAGAGGTATATGCGATTGAAGAGATATTTGAATCAACATGCTAAATTTAAGGATATCTAAAAGGGTTCAAAATTTGAATGAGTCCGGGATTTGAGGGAACCATATCAAATTGCTGAGAAATATAAGGAGATTTGATGATAAATTTTTGAATTCAAAATGTGGTTAAAATTTAATATTATTTTATTAATGGTTACTTGTACTATCAGCTTCATCATTTGGACGTTTTATAAAAATATTATTATTATAAACAATTTATTTTTAGAAATAGTTAGATTTTTTTTATAAGATAGTATATATATATATATATATATATATATATATATATATATATATATATATATATATATATATATATATATATATATATATATATATATATATATATATATATATATATATCAGCGCACAACCAACGTGATACATCCGACAAGCTTCGTTTTCAAAAATTAAAATTCACATAAATATAGCATGTAAATACCATTAAAGGTAGCAAGAATGCCATATACAAACATGCTTTTGAAACTTACAACCTATAGAAAATATATTAAAACCAACACATATACGACGAATTTATTACAAATATAAGTTCAATATTAAAACTACAACATTATCCACCAATCAATCGCCATCTTCACACAACCCGTCTCTACCCTTTCTTAGCTTTATAATACTGATAGACAGTATAAAAGGTTTGCAAAGCCGCAAAAGAAAGCAACAAAAAGGCCGCGAAAGCTGAAATTGCAGCCCATGGGCTCTCAAAATATCTATGCTTAAACCCAGCCAAATGCACATGCCACCCATTCTCGCAATACTCATTCACTTCCACAAACAAACCTGTCAAGTAATTATCTTTTATATTAAAAGCTACATCTTTTCCAACATTTTTGAAAAATTTCGCTAGCTCTTTATCCGTTCCGAGATAATTCTCAATAATTTTGTCTTCCGAAAGCACACCCACGTCACTTGAAGTGTTCATTAGACATCCCATGAACACAATGTAAGTTGTAATATGTTTGGAGCAATGAAAATAACACAGCTCGAAAGCAATACAATTCAAAAAGAACGAACTGTAAAAATCGTCCATGTTTATTTGAGGAATCAAAAGAACACCATTTCGGAACTCAATGTCCAAGAAGCTATCGGGCTCTTGACTTGCCTTAAACTTAACTCCAACGATCTTGAGTTTGTTCGCTGGGGGGATAAGTTTAAGGTAAGAGTTATTGATCTTGAGTTTGGTCGGGGTTTGGATAAGTTTTTGGGAAGAGCTTTTGGATATGTCAACGGTGGGAACTGGGTTTTGTTCTTTAGGGTTTATGAAACTTTTTCGGAAAAAATCTAGTAAATGTTTCCCTTCGGTATTCTTGTGTTCATTTAGTATCTCTTTTTTCCTATCAACTGTGTAATTGAAAAACTCAAGGATTAAAGTTGAAAGTGTGCGATCATCGGGTTTAGACCCATCTTTAGATTCATCAAACAACTTTTGGAGAACGAAAAATGGGATTTGGTTCTCAATTCTCAAAAGATCTCTCATCAAAAATGGAGACACCCAAACCATTCTAAAAATGGGATCATCTTTATCAGTCAGAACCAACTTTCCAACTTTTCTGAACAATTCAATCAAGAAAAACCCATCAAGCACCATCATTTTAGCAAGATCATTGGCGGAAAAGTGATCAAGAGATTCTGAGTAGCTTTGTCGAATTTTATCCTGCATTGACACTATGATTTTCATGAAATGTCCAATTGAGTTACCTGTTCTTTGGATCAAATCATCCAGGTACCTCCATTTATGTTCTTCGATCATCTCAAGGTGCTTCTTTCCATGGTGGTATGGGCCGATTGAGACGATTCGAGGTTGATATGCTTCCCTGTTGATCTCGAAAAGACTCTGGGGGACTCTGAATATGCAACATGAGTCATTTCCAGCTGACTTGTGTAGTAATTTTGGTGGTTTTTTCATTTGGGTGTTCATGAACTTCACCTCTTGGTCTATTGTAATAACATGATTGGGATACATCTTTTTTTTTTTTTGGTTGAACTGTGTTTACATGTGAACGATTGGAGGTGATTAAAAGGTGAATATATGAAGATATTAAGTCGATAAACGTCAATAGTTTAGGGTTTTCGTAGTTGATTCTATGAAGTTTCCTTTCGGGTTCCGATCATTGTATAAGAACAAGTGGAAGAAGAAACAAATGTGGAAGAACAAACCAATGAAAGAAGAAGGCTTTATCGCGTGGGGTCTCAAATCGATAGAAATATTTCAAACAGGCAATTTCGTAGACATTAATTCCAAGACGAAATGGTCGTTGATATTTTTCTGAGTTTATTTATAAATTAAAATTTTAAAATAATACTCAAATTGATGTAATTGCCTGTTAATCATGAAAAATCATTAATATTATCATTTTTGTGTGTTCATTATAAAACACTTAATTTTAAGTAGTCATTAGAGCATAATAGTTTATCTTTGTTTAATATTTTATTACAAAATACTTAAAAAAAAAAAAAGGAAAATACCAAAATAGCTATAAATTTTGCATGTCATCATCTACAAAAATATTATTGTTGGCCGACAAAAAATAATTTAACAAAAATGTTGTTTTGGTATGGTTGACTGGGAAACTTGCGGAAATTTATATGGAACTCTAATTTAAAAAAACATTTATTGTCTTATTATATTGACATAGAGATGCACAAAAATCGATCCTGAACCGGTTCTAAATCGATCCTAAATCAATCTTTTTTTTTTTTTGGATTGGTCTTCTTTTGGACCGGTATGTTTTAGACCGGTTTAGATCGGTCCTCGGTCGGTCCTTTTTCGGTCCCATCCTTTTTTGGATCGGTCTTTTTTTGGATCTGTCTTTTTTTTTTTGGATCAGTTTTGCTATAAACTAGTCCGATACCGGTTTTTTTTTCGGTTCTGTAACATCCATAAATTTTACGTCAAATTTAAACTTTTCCAATTATAATTAAAACCCAAATAGTGTTTGTTTACAAATTGTTTTTAAATCATTATCCATCAGAGTGTCCCAAAAACAGATCATAAGGATGAGGAGCGGTACGATCACGCCTTCACCTTGCCACGATCTCCTGAAATACCTTAAACAATAACTGAAAACTGTAAGCCCAAGGGCTTAGTGAGCTACCCCCAAAATACCAATACCACACTGAAATGTCAAAACGCTAACAATCAATAAACAACATGCATACTGGGCCATCGGTCTGACTGGACCGCCCTACAGGGCCTACAGTCTAACTGAATCTATAACGAGCCTTCGGTATAACAGGACCACCACATGGGCCTACAGTCTCCCCGGACCGCTCATATGGTATGTTGGCTTTCAGCACAAAGCAGTATTGCCTCAACCCAATCAACAAGAAACTAATCATGTGCGCATAACTAACATATACTGGCATACATAAGCGTCAAACATATCTATCTCATGATCATAAATCATAGCAATATCTCATAGCTAAAGCATCGACCTAGCAGGCCACTAACATACCGATCCCTAAGGATCATAGAATCATAACATATTGTCTATCCTGATTCCAATCTATCAGATCATAACTCTCTCTCTCTCTCTCTCTCTCTCTATATATATATATATATATATATATATATATATATATATATATATATATATATATATCATAACGATAACAACTAAAGAGTCGGCCTTGGTGCCTTAGACCCTTTTGATATAGTGAGGATAACTTACCTCGCAGATGTCGACTCGGTAGATAAATCCCAACTCTCGGATCACTTGCTAAAGACTCCACCACCTATTACCATAGTAGGAATATACTCATAAGTCCTCAACCTCACAAAGGTACTCCATAAACCAACTAGTCAACACCTGATCAAAGTCAAAGTCCTCAGTCAAGGTCAACAATCAATATTAACCTTAACTCGCCGAGTACCCTCGTCTACTCGCCAAGTTCCTTGAACTTCTTCCCTACTCGCCGAGTCACCGGGGTGACTCGTCGAGTTCTTACGACTTTCGATCAAAACTCTAAGGCCACCCGTCGAGTTTCCTTCTTGTAACACGACGGATACACACACATTCATAACTTGGGGAAAACTCATCCGACTCGTCGAGTTGTTCATACAACTCGTCGAGTCTATGGCAATCTTCATCGGACTCACCGAGTTGTTCATCCAACTCGTCGAGTTATTGGCCATCTTTATATGACTCGCTGAGTCAACCTTGCGACTCGCCGAGTTCCTTCAGTCCGTAAGCCATACAGACTCATTTAAGCCATACAATGGCTCCAAATTACATATCCAAGCTTCTAGGGCATGCTTTTAACATAAAGTTGCAGACTTTACGTGCATGCATGACTGAAAAGGTTCTTAATGCCAAATCTAAGCTCTTAATGGGGTTTCATGCACAAGGAGGGCCTCATCCACGACCAAAACAGGAACTTTATGGTTCTAGAACTTGAGAAGGGTCCAGATCTGAAGTTACAACTTCAGATCTAGCCCATAGCTCACCAAATTGACTCCAAAAATCCACAAAACCCTAAAACTCAACCACAAAGAGGTCTAAAAGAAAAGGGGAGTAAAGATTGCAACTTGATACCTCCAAAAGATGCTAGCTGAAGTATGTTTTGTTTCCCACACCTTCCTTGCTTCAACTCTTTTGCTCTTCAAGTTTTTCCCTCCTAGCCAACCTTCTTTCCAAGGCTTAAAATACACCAAAAAGAGTACCACACAAATTAGGGTTTCACTGATCTCTCAAAGACTGTAAAGAGGCTAAAGGAGGCTTAGGCTTCCTTAAATAGGGTGCAAAACCCCGAGATTTAGGGTTTCTTCTGCCAGCTCTTACTCGTCGAGTCCCTCCCTGGACTCGGCGAGTAGGTCACTAAACACGCGATCCCACCCCGCTGCTACTCGACGAGTAGGGAAACCAACTCGTCGAGTAGGACTTAAAACCAAGGAACCTTTTATTTAAATCCATACCTGAGAATCGGGGCGTTACAATTCTCCCCCACTTGAACTAGACTTCGCCCTTGAAGTCCCTTGAAATAAAAAATGTCGGGTAATGCTCGCGCATCTCCACCTCCGGCTCCCATGTCCACTCGGATCCCCTCCGATGTTCCCACTGCACCTTCACCAAAGGTATTTGCTTGTTCCGAAGAATCTTCTTCTCCCTTTCCAAAATGGCCACCAACCTCTCCACATAATTCAGGCGCTCATCGACCTGAATGTCGTCCAATGATACTACTTCCTCCTGATCCATAATGCACTTTTGCAACTGCGAAACATGGAACATGTTGTGGATACGGCTAAGATCCTCCGGGAGCTCGAGCCTATAAGCCACCTTGCCAACCATGGCAATGATCCTGAATGGCCTAATATAACGGGGAGCCAATTTTCCCCTCTTCCTGAAGCAAATCAGACCCTTCCAAGTGAGACCTTTAGAAGCACCATGTCACTCACACGAAATTCCAACTCAGATCGGCGTCTGTCGGCATAACTCTTCTGCCGACTCTAAGCGGTCTGCAAACGCTGTCTAATCTTTTGTATCTTTTCGGTAGTTTGTAGAACTACCTTTGTCCATCCCATCACCCTGTGCCCAATCTCACCCCAGCAGACTGGCGTTCTACACTTCCAACCATACAACAGCTCGAAAGGCGGGGCGCCAATACTGGAATAATAGTTGTTGTTGTAAGCGAACTCTGCAAGCGGTAGGTGGGAATCCCAACTCCCACCAAAGTCAATGACACACGCCCTCAACGTATCCTCGAGGGTCTGGATGGTCCGCTCACTCTGCCCGTCAGTCTGCGGATAGAATGTTGTACTAAAATGCAGTTGCGTACCCAGTTCCTCATGGAACTTCTGCCAAAAATAGGAATTAAACCTGACATCCCGATCGGAAACGATAGAAACTGGAACCCCATGGCGAGAGACAATCTCTCTGACATACATGTCGGCCAATTTCTCAGCCGACGAACTTTCCCATATGGCCAAGAAATGGGTACTCTTGGTCAACCGATCCACGATGACTCATATAGAATCAAACCCCTTCATCGTCCTCGGCAACTTCATGATGAAATCCATCGTGATCTGCTCGCATTTCCACATGGGAATCTCCATAGGCTGCAGCTTGCCATGCGGCCTCTGATGCTCAGCCTTGACAATCCTGCAGGTCAAGTACCTTTCAACGTACCCAACGATTTCTTGCTTCATTCCGGGCCACCAATATCTCAAAATCAAATCACGATACATCTTGGTGGCCCCCGAATGAATAGAAAAGTGAGACTTATGAGCTGCGTCCATCACTTTCTGTCGAACCCCTCCGGACATCGGAACCCAAACCCGGCTGTATTGGGTCAACAACCCGCGACTATCCTGAACAAACTGGGTGCTCTCGCCCTTAATTCTCTCCAACTTCCAGTTCTCTGACCTCATACCCTCAACCTGAGCATTCCTAATCAAGCTCACAAGCGGGAAATCCACCGCTATCCTCATACACCTTACTAGGGTAGAAGACCTAGCTGACTTGTGGCTCAAAGCATTCGCAACCACATTCGCTTTACCATGATGGTAAAGGATCTCACAATCCTAGTCCTTGACCACATCTAACCACCTACGCTGCCTCATGTTTAGGTTCGGCTGATCCATGATGTGTTTCAAACTCTTGTGATCCGTATATATAGTGCAACGCACACCGTACAGATAATGCCTCCAAATCTTGAGAGCGAAAACCACCGCTCCCAACTCAAGATCGTGCGTAGGGTATCTCATATCATGCGCTTCAGCTGCCGTGATGCATAAGCTATCACTCATCCCCTTTGCATGAGGACTGCCCCCAAACCCGAGATGGATGCATCACAAAATACTACAAAATCCTCGACTCCCGCGGGGAGTGTCAACACCGGCACCTCACATAAACACTTTCGGAGGGTCTCAAATGCCCTCTGCTGCTCAGGGCCCCACCGGAAGTCCACCCCCTTCCTCGTAAGACGAGTGAGGGGTACTACAATCTTGGAGAAATCTCGAATAAA